GGGGTACACGGGGGGCTGGGGAGGGGGGCTGCCACCCAGCCAGGCCAGCTCACCAGGATCATGTGTCCGGTGGAGATGTCCATGTTGGACTGGACGGGCTCTTCACACCAGGATGGCGTGCTGCTGTGGGAGCTGGGGCTGGGCTGCGGGGCGTCGCTGAACTGGGATGAGACGCTGCTGACCCGTGAGGTCTCTGCCGGCGCCACCGGTGCCTCAGCACGGCCGAAGAGAGACTTGGCAGCCATGTGCTGGCGGCACAGCTCCTGGGGGACCCCAGCAAGAGCCCTGTCCCTCAGCCACAGTGCTGCCACAGGGCAGCCCTGTGCACCCTGAGTGATGCTGACGCAGCGGTGCCACATCCTGCAGGGTCCCACGTCCTGTGGGGTCCTACCTGGTACTCAAAGGTGGTGTCGGCAGCACCCTCGGGCCCCAGGGCAGCCAGGCGCTCCTTTTCCCGCTGCTTAGCATGGCGCCGGAGGCAGAAGGCCGCAGCAACCGCGATGGCGATGCCAGCCACACAGGCCAGCGCGATGAAGGTCAGCAGCACCGAGTGGAAGCCGTCCCCGAAGCGGGATGGGCGCGAGTAGGCAGCAGCCTCATTTCGCTGGGGGCAGAGCCAAGCAAGGGTTAGCGGGGGGCATCTGCATGGGGCTGGGGGTGCAGAGACCCCATTCTGCACCACATTTGGGGTTGTTGGGGGCTAAAACAGAGCAAGGGCACCCGGTGCTGTGCTGATTCTCCCAGCACCCTCAGCTGGGGCAGAGCTGGTGTCACTGCGGTGCTGGGTGTCACTGGGGTGAGGCACAGTGCACCCACCTGCGTGTCGCATGGGGCATTGCTCACACTGGTGTCCCTGGGGCTGCAGGAGGGGGCAGAGCCTGGCCAAGCCCAGGCAGCAGCGACCTGCTGCTCCCAGCACCCAGGGCTGCTCCCTGGGGCAGCCCCAGCCCAGGCTGCCACCCTCCAGGGCAGGCAGTAGCCCCACAGAGCTCAGGTTCAATGAGCTCCTGCCCAGCTGGAGGACAACCAAGGCTGGATTCAGCCCAAGGGGTTAATGGCAAAGGATGGGCCACTGCAGCACTGGGTCCAGGGCAGCAATCGCTGCTCCCAGGGGAATTCCCCAAATGGGGCTTGGCTCTCCCCTGTGGCCACTGCTCCATGGCAGGACACGGGGGGGGGATGTGCCGGCACTGCCAGAGGGCTGGTGCCATCCCAGCTGCGGTGGCTGGGAGACGGGTCCTCCCGATCGCTCTCCTCAGCTGGGACAAAGAGCAGCCCCTGCCATCTTGCAGGCAGTGCCTCCAGGGCTCCTTCCCTGTAGCTGGGGGTTCAGCCAAATCCGTGCTGGTCCCATGCTGGGATGGGATGGTGCTGAGCCCTTGCTGGATGAGACCCCCCCCCAAGGCCGAGACCCCCCAGGGCCTTGTCACAGAGCTGCTGGTGATCAGGATGCTGCCCCCCTACCAGCCAGGTCCTAGGGCAGCACAGGGCTGCTGGGGCATCATCACCACCAAATACCCTGTGTCCAATGAGGCGCCAGAGCCCAGCATTACCTCACTGCCATGGCCTCCCATTGGCCACGAGCCTGATGAGGTTACCGAGGGAACACTGCGTCATCATCACCTACCTTGTCACCATCATTTCCTGGGGATGCTCCTGCCCCAGGGGTCCCCACTGCTGCCTGCCCCCCAGCCTCGCCAGCCCCAGCGCCTGGGGGCCAGTCTGACTGCCACCAGGGCCCAGCGAGCCCTGCAGCCAGGGGTACCCCACCAGGGCCAGCACCTCCCAGCTCCCCGGGGCACCCAGGCAGGAGCAGCCCTGCAGCCCCTGGAGGGGTCAGAAGGTCTGGAGGTGTCAGCAGGGCTGGGGGGATAGAAGGGACCTCCCTCCCAAGGCCTGCCCAGGCCCTGCTGTCCCCCTGCCTCTCTGCATCCCTCCTTCCCCAAATATTGCACCAGTCCCACTGAGTTCAGAGCCCAGGAGGGGATGAAGGAAAAGCACAAGGTGGTCTGGACCGGGGAGGTCTGTGCAGAAGAGGGCTCCCAAAGCTGCTTCAGCCTCCTCTGAGCTCCAGCTCCATCATCTCTGCCATCTCTCCCAGTTCTTGCCACTTGCCACATCAAAAGGCATTGCCATAGCAACACTCCACATGTTGCTGATGGAGACTGATTGCGCAGTGGCCAGGCCACCCCTTCTCCATGGCCTTCTCCTCCAAGGTCCCCCCTTCCTTCCTCCCTCTCACAGCTACAGCCATAGGGCAGGACGGTGGGAAACAGGAACCCCGGGTTGGGGATGTGGTACCACTTCGATTGCGCAGTGGCCAGGCCACCCCTTCTCCATGGCCTTCTCCTCCAAGGTCCCCCCTTCCTTCCTCCCTCTCACAGCTACAGCCATAGGGCAGGACGGTGGGAAACAGGAACCCCGGGTTGGGGATGTGCTGTACCACTTCCCCTCCCCAGGCTGCAGACACTGGAGCCAGGCTCAGTCCCCCATCTCTAGCCCCGGCTCCCCCCCCAGGTGACTGTTCCTGGGGATCCCCAGAGGAGCACAGGGAGGGGGAGCTCCTCTCCAAGCAGATGGCTCCTGCTCCATCCTTGCCTTCAGCTGCTTTGCTGTTCCCTGGGGGCATGATGGCATTTTGCCTGCCTAGCTATGGTCTCTGGGGTGCTCTGGGCACAGCCCAGCACTGGGGTACCCAAGCCGCAGCCAGGGTGAGGTGCGTAGGCTGGAGGGAGGCAAAGGTGAGGATGAGTCCTGCAGGGTGCAGCCTGCAGCCCCCCAGTCTTGGATGGAGCGGGGGGAAAGCCTCTGGGATGCCCTCCCAAATTGCCTACAAACCCTGTGGAGCTTTTGTTTTAGGAAGAGCCGAGTGCCCTGGGAGTGCAGGTGGCTGGGCAGCATCTCGCTGCCAGGTGGAAGGGAGTCACTGGAGCGGTCCTGCTCTGGCCCGTCCCAGATAACCCGAGTCTGTCTCCAACACAGTAGCCTGAACACTGCCCAGAGCCCTCTGCTCCCCAGCTGCCTCACAGACCCACAGGGATGGCTTGCTCATGAAGACCCCTGCACCCCAGGGCTGGGGCACAGTGTGCTTCCCGGCTCGTGCCTGGCAGCAGCACCCCCACTGCCCTGTCCCTGGCCGCCCCAGCCCTGAAGGACGGGCATGCCTTGCTCCTACCTCTCCCACTCCTGTTTGCACAATCTTCAGGCCCAGCTCTGCCTCCAGCTCTGCCTTCACTTGCTCTGTGGATGGAGAAAAGATGGTTAGAGGGGTGCTTCCCCTCCACCCAAGAGACCTCCCCAGAGACAGAGCCAAGGGATATCCCCAACAGCTGCCCACCCCACACCAGCTCCCCAGTTCAGCCAATGGCACTAGAATGTATGATGGGAGCCCCCTCTTCCCGGCCCCTGGGAAGGGGCATCCCACAACTGGAGGACGAAAGGGGGGCAGGACCAGGGGGACCCCTGCCCAACTCACCAGCCTGGCTGGCCACATCTGCCAGCGAGAGGTTCTGGGGGTTCTGCCGGATGCGGAAGGTGAGCGCGGGGCCCACGACACTGCGAGGGAGGGGGGACACAGCGTGAGACCAGGGAGCACTGACCCCCTCCCCACCCTCAACACAGCCCAGTTCCTCCTGGCTCCCCACTCGGGGCAGCTGTGCATGGCCAGGGCTGTGAAAGCAGCACCCCACGGCCCAGCTCCCCTCACCTGATGTTGATGAAGCTGGCCGTGGAGAGGTGGAGGCGCTTGGCGAGGAGCTCCAGCAGCCGCACGCCAGCGGCCAGCCCCAGGGGCCTGTGGGGACAGCGGCAGGGTGAGGAGCAGGCGGTGGGGGCAAGGGGAGGGCCCACGCTCCCCACAGCTGGGGAAGGGGGACGGGCAGGCATGAGGAGTCCCACACATGGAGTGAGGGCTGTCAGGGTGGGCAGGAGGTAAGGCAGAGCATGGGGACGCGTGGTGATGGTGAGCTGACCCCCCCCTTGCACACGAGTGTGCATGGAGGCAGTTGTGCAAACACTTGGCTGAGCCTGCCCCAGTCTCCCATCCTGCAGCAGTGAGCTCTAGTCTTGGTGAGGGCTCAGGGGAAGGCTTTGGGGTGGGATAAGGGACTGTGGGTGGAAGGGGATGGGGGAGCTGATGCCACTGGAGACCCAAACCGGCTCAGCCGAGCACACGGAGCTGTGACAGCTGGCTAGGGGGTATACAGCCCCTCCGCACACACGCACCCCCTTGCCCGACCCCCAGCTCTCACTTCTGGTCTGTGACGATGTAGCCGTACTCATCTGGTGGCCGCGTGCCCCGCTGCACCCCACCATCCTTCGCCTCCGTGTAACTCTTCTTCTCCACTGCAATTGGCTTCCCGGGGATGAGTGTGTCCCCCCCACGTCCCCGCTGCGGCTCTGCCTGGGGGGCTGGCGAGGACACTGCCCTGCCCCTCGGCCTGTCGCCTGGGGAGCTGCTCGTTGGGATTTTGGGGGGCGGCACTGTGGAGGAAGGGGGCACTGGCTCGTCTCCATGCTGCATGTCCCCCTCTGTCACCTGGAGGGAGGGAAAGGGAGGAGCTGGGACCCCCGAGGAGAGCCCTGGGTGGCTGCCCCTGCCTCCCTACACACACATACACCCCCCCCCCCACCTGCGGTGTGGCACCTCCTCCAGCACCACCCTGCTGCAAACCCACCCGTTTCGCTGTGGGCGCTTCGGGGCCAGCAACACCTGGAAAGGAGAGAGACAGAGGTCCTGCAGCACCCGCCCCGAGAAGCAACACCTCCTACCCTGGCAGCCACCACTGTCAGTCCCTGCCGGACCCGTCCCTGTGCCCCGCTCACCAGAGCTCTGGAGCAGCTGGAGGAGGGCGGAGAGGCTGCTCAGCTGCTGGGGGCTCAGCTCCGGCAGCCCCAGGCCGTAGCTGGCCAGCAGGGAGGCCAGTCTCCTCAGGGCAGCGTCTGCAAGAGGACGCAGCATCAGGTCAAATGCCCTGCATCTGCACGGGGACCACGGGCTGGGGACACAGCAGCCGGGGCAGGTGGGGTCGGGGGCATATGCTGGCCACAGGCATGAAGCCAAAGAGGAGGGAGAGTCTGAACCACAAGGAATGTGGCTGTGGGGACAGGATGGGGATGAGGGCTGGTGCCTGGCTGGGGGACACGGTACCCGTCGGTGCAGGGGGTGGCTGGGCAGCCAGGGGCACTGGTTGCTCCCTCTCCTCCGTGTCCCTGTAGTCACTGGGGAGCCGCAAGCTGTGCTGGAGCCTGGTGCCAGCGGGGTCCGGGCGGCCGGCTTTCTCTCTGGGCAGGGAGAGCATACCCAAGTCGTGGAAGAGATGCCCCCCATCCGTTCCTGGCTGCTTGCCATAGGAGGGCACAGGGCCGGCCCCAAAAAGGGCCTGGGCAGGGACCCGGCCCAGCAGCGAGGAGGTCTCGGGGCTCTGCCTGGCTGAGCCACTGGGGAGCTGGTGAGCGCCATCCTGGTAGCCAAACTGCAACCAAAACACAGAGCGGCCACGGTCAAACCTCACAGGGCCCCTGCCACCCCATGGCAGGGCACCCCAGAGCCAGGGGGCCACCCCAGCACAGACAGAAGGAGGGTGCTGGGAGTGCAGCAGCCCCCCGCCCATCTCTACCTTTCTGCCCATGAAAGGGGGGGGCTCACCCCCATCGCTTACCTTGTGGTAGGAGTAGGGGTTGAGCAGAGCCTCCTCGTAGCCCAGCTGGGGCGGGGGGGACAGCAGGAGGTGCTCCAGGTACCGCTGCACCAGGGGGGCGGGCAGCAGCAGTTGGGTCTGCCCCAGATGCTGAGGCGCTGGCAGGCTGGGGTCTGCGGGGAGCGGGGCTCGCCGGGGGGAGCTGCGGAGGGGCAGGAACCTCAGAGACAAACAGCGCTGGGGTGACTCACCTGGTAAGGGGGAGGTGTCCCCACCCCAACCCCGTTTGGGGGGCAAAGCCCTCGCTGCCCTGCCGGGCTCTGCTCGCAGGCTGGCAGCTCGCGCTGCCCTACCTGTCCCTTGCTGCCGACTCCAGCGAGGGCGGCGGGCGGAGGCGGGGGATACGCTCCATCTCCTGCGAGATCACATACTGGGTGATGCCATCCTGCCACGAGAGCCCTGCCACGGGAGGGGGCTGTGAGACACGGAGGAGGCCTGGGGACTGCGAGGAGAGCACATGGGAGGCCACCCTGGTGTCCTGACCCTGTGTCCCATGGCCTGGGTTTGGCCCCACTCCTTCCAGAATCAGCTGGACTCCTCCTCAGCCCACCCTGGCCCCTGGGGCCATCAGGACCCCAGACAGCCCTAGTGCCACTAGGCAATGCTGCCTGACACCCCCTCCCTGCCGGGCTGCAGTGACCCCCCCACGCTCCCCCCTTCACCTTGTGCCATGAGATGCCGTAAGACATCCTGCAGGCGCTGGAGCACGGGAGAGGTGACCTGGAAGTAGGGTCTGTCCTGCCCGGAGCCCACCTGGCACTGCCCAAACAGCCCATCTGCAAGAGAGGGGAGGCAGCGGGGCTGGATAGATGAACATCCCAGGGGTGAGGGTCTCCAGGTGCAGCCCCACCTTTCTCCTGCCGTGCTCCCCCACACTGCACCCCAAGTTCCCCTGCAAGGCAGCCCTGCACCCTCCACACCCCCTTGGGAAGGAAGAAGGGATCCCCGCGCACCCCCTCTAGCCACTTACCCTGCACGCACACCTCCTGGGGGGAGCACAGCCTCCGGTCAAACAGGCAGCCTGGGACAGACAGACAGACAGACAGGCCGACAGACAGGCCAGTCAGCACAGCGTCCAAGGGGGGGCTCCAACAGGGTTTGCTCATCACCAGCTGCTTGGGGACCCCCACTCTCCAGGAAAGTGCCACAGGGGTGCAATGTGGTGATG